CACTCCCTCAGTCCTTCTGCTCCCCAAGAGCGCCCCCAAGTAAACGTTTGCAGGAAAAGCTCAGTCTGGTCCCCAGGGAACTTGATCTATGCAGTGGGTGCCAGTAGTGGTCTGAGAAAGCAGACATGGCATTTTGGAATTTGGTCACCCTTAGGTGGGCTGGCACTGATGACTTCATCACAAGTTGTAGGTGAAATACGGATGGCAGCGGTGCAGTTAAAGCTTTTACTAGGGGTGGCTGGTCTGGCATACCAGTGCAAGCAGTTGTGCGAGCTGCTGGGCAGTACTATGTATTTGAAAAGAATAGGGCAATGGAAGAGAATGGCATTGGTGGCTGTGGCTGGGCCCTTTGGAAAAAGACAAAGGCCAAGCGTGGTTAATTAGCAATTAAAGGGTAAATGTGATAGCCAGAGGGCTCACCTGCTAGCCTGTGAAGAGACCACCTGCAGTCACAGCCCACCCCCCCCCCCCCAGCCTAGTATGGCTGGTAGAGCTCCAGAGGAGGTTGGATGCTCAGCCCTGGCGGGTGTTCTACCTCAAGGTCAGGGCCTTGACCAGGAAGAGGGACCTGACCCTGAGATGCAGGATGGGGACGTCTCGATTGGTGCATTCAAGTTTGAATCCCAGGTACCTCTGGGACCTGCAGAAGTAGCTACTCCTCTCTGTTAAAGGCCAGCCCCCTTCTCTCTACCCGCCAGTCCCCCAGCTTAAAGACAGTGCAAGAGGGTTCTATCTTGAGAAATACACATCCTCCCTCAGGAAATGCCACCTCTTTTGGCCATTAAGTCACTACATAACCTGGCCAAGAGGTACCAGGGCCTGTTAAGGGAGTGGATGAGACGGGCTGGTCAGGGAACAGAAACCCTATAGTCATTGGAACAGGGAAAGTTTAAAGCATTATTAACTAGTAATGGGATTAGCTGACAAGAAGTAAAGAAAACTGAGGATTACAATAATAGCAGACGCAGGGAGCATCTACCTGCGGCAGTGTCGAAGGAAGGAACAAAACTGGAATGACCTGGCCAGGTGACGTCCACCAGCCTCTGTCATCTATTGTCCCTGTATGGGCAACTTGGGCTCTTTAATGGAGTGACCATGGGGCTGGGGCGGAGGCTACGCGTGCGCCCAACAGCATGGCGCTCCCACTCACCAGGGCCGATCTCGCCGTTGCCTCTGTTGAATTTCCAATGACACACTGAACTCTGGGTCCCCAATAGTACTGAACTTTGAGAACAGTCACTTGGGGGCTAGTTGGCAATACTGGACCCCTTGTGCCCCCAAAGGTGCCGTTATTCGTCTTGACTCGAATCCACATGTATTCCAGGCACGGGTTTGCCTTTCCCATATGCAGGGCCTCAGTGAGCTCCGTAATACAAGGCTCACAGAGCCTTTGACCCACTGACACAGAATCCTGCATAGCATCGCCCTGGATATAGGAACCCACTTTACAGCAAAGGAGCTGCAGTGGGCACGTGATCATGGGACCCACAGGTTCCATCACAGCCACACACCCAGAAATGCCAGCCCAACAGAGTGGTAGAGTGGTGGGTAGCAGGCTGAGCTCAGGTGACCTCCAGGCTGCAGTATACACTGTACGTCAGTGACCATTGCAGGATGCAGTGTCCCCAGTGTAGATAATTAAGGGCTCTGGGAGCCAAAAGGCGGCAGTGGGAGTGGCCCTGCTTACCATCACTCCCAATGCCCCTCCCAATAAATTTGTGTTTCTCTCTCCAGATACCTCTGGGTTCTGCAGGTTTAGTCTTGACTCCCCAGGGGAAACCCACCAGGGACAAAGGAAAAGTACTGTTGGATTTCAAGCTATAGCCGCTGCACAGTCATTTCAAGTTCTGTACTCCAATAGACTGGCAGGCAAGTGAGGTACTCTCCATCCTGCTAGGGGTGACCTCCTGTTCACCAGAGGTCAGGGCTGCCGTTACATAATGGGGCAGGAAAGCATCTACGTGGCACCCAAGTGATGTGATTGGCCACCTCTTGGTCCTCTGACCAAATTTGCTGGTAAATGCAGTGGCCGTGGCCTGAGAAGGGCATGGTGACCAGGGACTTACACCCCTCAGGGATGAGGGTTTGGGTCACGATCAGGCAAGCTACCTAGACCAGCAGAGGTGCCAAGCCAGGGTGAGGGGAACCTCAGAATGGGTAGGAGAGGGAGGTGAATAGCATTTGCAGCTTTGAGACCAGCTGCAGGACAAGGACAGGCAGTTCACCCCATTAACCTTCCTTTTAAGTCCCCTCAGGAAGAGGCCCAGCAGAGTCCCGAAGGAGCTGCTCCCAGAACATACCTGAGCTGCGCAGTGTAGTGAACACTGTGGGTGCCCCGAGCCCCCACTCATCACCCCAGCTGCTGCTCACCACACAGCCCCTCCCGATGGTTGCCTCAGCTGCAAAGAGCTTCTTTGCCCAAGGGCACACCATTTTCCCAGGAGCAACCAGGTAATGACTGGTGGGTGCTGGGGAATAAAGGCTCAGCTCCCTTGACCCTGTGGGGGACAACTATACAGGACCATGCCAGGTCCAGAGCAGGCCTTTGTAGCGGCCGCATCTTGGACCAGTCCTCCCTCCTTCACTCCCCTACAGACGTTGATCCTGAGAGCGCTACCCCAAAACCTTTCTGAATGCAAGCCTTCATCTCGGGGTCAGCCTCCCAGGGACCAGACCTGTGCCACTGTATGGGTATAACATACTCATGTACATGAATGGGGAGATTTGGTCATTGTTTTAAAAAATGGGATCATATTTTCACAGATCTCTGCATCTTCAAGTCAACTAATACAGCTCATTCTTTTCAATGGCTCTGCGCTTCATGGTGTGGATGTTACATAATTTATTCATCGACTGCCCTCATGATTGGTATCTCCTTTGTTTTCAGTCCTTTGCCGTAAAGCAATACTGTCATAAATGTTTTGCTTTAAACCTATTTACTGTTGCACATATTTCTGTGAAACAGATAGCCAGGAGTGAGGTGGTTTGGTTAGATGATTTATACATTTATATCTCTTTGTTTTGATTGAGGTTACAACACACACACACACACACACACACAGCACAACTATCCTAAGATTATAGTTCAAAATTTCACAAACTGAACACCCGTATAACCTTCACCCAGATCAAGAGACGGAACATTGGTAGCATCTCAGAGGCCCATCTTTCCTCCCTTTGGGTTCGTTCTTTTCTTCCCAGCTCCTGAGAGTGATGCGCGTATTTTTAACTTTAATAAGTGTCGACACTGTGCTTTCCAAAAAGACCCTAACCATTCACCTTTTTACCAGCAATGAGTGAGACTACCTCTTCTTCTCCATCTCCAATTATACTTGATTTGTGTCTCCCTGACTACTAGGGAGTTTGGGTATTGCATCATGTTTGTTTGCTCTTTGGATTTGCTATTTTGTGTGTTGCCTCTCCCTGTCTTTTGCTCACTTTTCCATTGAATTGTTTCTTTTTTGGTCAGTGTAACTTGTATAATAAAAATATTAACCCTTTGTCTTTTTTGTCCCAAACAGTTTTCCCAATGTATTATTTTCTTTCAGAAGTGGTGCTAGTTATACCATCCCTATTCATTAATCTGTCCTTCTCTACTGCATTAAAATACCATCTTCGTTGTATATTAAATTCTCATAAGTCCTGGGGTCAGTTTCTGGATTGTCTACTCTGTTTTAGAGATCTTTTTGTCTATTCCTATTCAAATACCTTGTGGATTTGATTACAGTGCCTTTATAGTATGTTCTGATAACCTGGCAAAGCAAGTCTTCTTTTATTTTTTTAAAAAAACTTACCTTTCTGGGTCCTGCCTGGTGGTCCAGTGGCTAAGACTCCACATTCCCAATGCAGGGGTCACAGGTTCGATCCCTGGTCAGGGAACTAAGATCCCGCATGCTGCACGGTGCAGCCGAAAAAGACCCTTACCTTTCTTCTCTATTTTCAGACATTTAATATTTCATGTGTACTTTGAAATTATTATTTTTTTCAATTAAAAGAACCCTGTAGGGTCTCTGATGAGAATTACATTAATTAAAAAAAAATATATATATATATGTTTATTTGGCTGTGCCGGGTCTTAGTTGTGGCACACGGGATCTTCATTGCTGCGTGCGGGATCTTTTAGTTGTGGTATGCGGGGTCTTTAGTTGAGACACGCGAACTCTTAGTTGCGGCATGTGGGATTTAGTTCCCTGACCAGGGATCGAACCCAGGCCCCCTGCATTGGGAGCATGGAGTCTTAGCCACTGGACCACCAGGCAAGTCCCTGCATTAAATTTATATTTAGGAGAATTAAATATTTTGTTCATATCTCAGTGCTGTGTATTCGCATTTGTATAGATCATGCTTTATGCCATTTTATAAGATTTTAAGTTTCCATCATTGAGTGCCTTGTGCTTTTCTTGTTAAATTAATCCTGAGTATAACTTTCCTCTATCGTAAGTGAAAGATTTCCCCCATTTGCATTTCATCGTTGTTATCGTTGCTATAGAGAGAACGTACATCCCAGAGGTTACGAGCCGAAACTTGAGTCATGTTGCCTGGGGTTGAACCCAGGTTCCATCACTTCCTGTCCAGCCCAAACTTATTAAAATTAAAACAAAATCTAAATGAGAAGTTTGTATTAATGATATTTTACTGAAGTTGTAATTGTTCCATTACAATGTTATTCAGTCTAAGAATTTCTTCACCTTTAATACTTACAAGCTTTCTGTAAAATGGTGAACTTGGGTTTTCAGAATCAAGTATTCAAATGCAAATAACAAGTAATACTTTTTAATAAACACTGCATGATTACATAGATCTGTCTCCAGTTAATTTGAAGATACTTTGCATAAATGTTTATTACAATGGTAGTATGCATTTTGGTTGTAAATTTTACTACATTGTTTTAATTAAGTAAATAATGAGTAAATGATTATAGAGGCTATTGTCAATGTTTAGCTAATTATGTGATTTTAATTTCTTTATTCTCTCATGCTTCCTTTCTGTGTCTTTTAAAGCTGCAGAAGTGGTGGACAAATCCAGTGTTGGGTATTCAGTACTACCTGAAGATGGGAAGAATCAATCACTGGAAAAAAAGGTGAAACCTTGCAAGTATGACTAATTCTAAACAGATAACTTTCATTCATTCAATAAATACTTATCAAGTGTCTACTATATGCTAGGCACTGTGGATGCAACGGTTAAAAAAACAAAAGGAGTTCTTCTCCAGGAGCTGATAGTTTAATTTGTATGAGGGGACTCGGAAGACAGAGAAGCACAATATTTCTCTATGACGTGGTGAATTAGTGTCACTGTAGGAGACAGGGCCAAGTGCTTTGGGAACGATAGGGGAGATGGCTAACCCAGTTTTTGTGCTGTTTCGTTCTGCTTTTTCTGGGAGGTGGGGAGAGGAATCTGGGACGTTTGTCTGAAGTATGAACACTCTGACTTGAGGTCTAAAGGGTGACTAAGAAATGGTCAGTCTAAAGATCCTCACCTTTAGAGAGTGGGGGAAGGACTTTGGGAAAAGTTTTTAGGTTAGGGGAAGAGAGCTTGGAACTTCGGGGTAGTGGAAATAAAGAGAAGTTCAGAAAGAAAGGGGTATAAAATTTGCAATGGGTGAGTTACGTGGTTTGGGCTTGGGAGAGAGATGAGAAGAGGTCGTGTTATTACCCAAGACCTTCTATAGGAAGCAGTGGTGGAGGTGGCATAATAGTTAAGAGAGTGGGCTCTGGAGCAAACTACCTGTGTCCAAATCCAAATCTAACTTAGTCTAATGTAAGCTCCCTTAGTAAATCCCTGGATTGATGGGATGGTTATTTGCCCCTGAAGTGGAAGGAGCGGCATCTTTGACAGAAAAGGGACTGTGCAGCCCTTTGAAAGTGAATGGAAATTCTCTCTCCCAAAGGTGTTCAAACTGTGCTCCTTCGATCCCTAAGGCAGAGGTCTTCAAATCGTTTTGCTCCCTTTCTCACAGACTTTTGAAAAGCCATGTATCTCCTGACATACTTTTAAGTTGACGTTTAAAATATTTATCACAAGTTTAAAAAGTTTCATAGGACATGATTTCTGGTGGATTAATAATATTGACATTTAAAAAAACTTATATCACAGTTTAAAATATGTCCACTAATATCTACATACTACACTCTGATAACTTGATATCTACAATCATTCCTTTAAAAAATACATGAGCAGGATATTCTTCAACAATCTGAATTTTTATATTTTCCTTTTCCTTCTTGACTCCTTTTCTTGTATACTTCTCCACAGAATTTTTATTTTGATATAATTTTATGTTTGGAAGTCTTTTCTTAAAAAGCATATAATATTTCTCTGCAATAAAAATGACTATAAGTTTAAATTTTCTGTGATCATGTGACTGTGTTAAAACATTTTCTTTCAAAATTATTTTTAAACTATTATTGGTATACGTTTGTTCAGAATAGCATAAATATATCATAAAATCTGAAAAGTAAACATAAAAAATAAAATTTTATTGTAAATGAATCCTACAATGAAACGGAGAGATGCTTTTTCCCCCTCAGTCTGTGAATTGATGAATGAATATTGCACATTGCTAGATCGAAACAGGAAGAGGATTGCTGCCGAACTGTATTTTTAAAGAAATTTTAGTAGGTAGATTAACATATTATCGACTAGTTGTGGTGATTTAATTTTCTCTATAAATGGCCTTTGGTTGGAAGTTGTCAGTGATTCATCCTCACTCTTATGCACATGTGCAGCACACTCCCCTCCACAGCATCTCCTGTTACACACATGGTGCCAGCGCAGGGCTGTGGTGGGAGACTTTCTAAACTAACTCCTGCCTCTTCCAGCCCAGGATGCAGATATGCACTCCTACCTGGTTGAGAAAAACCACTGCTCTGGAAGACACTCCATAGTTCATTAGAAAGTTGGGTCATAGTTAATGTGAAGCTGTGTTCCCACTTTACCTTAGATGAGTTTTATCAGATTTTACTTTGGTTTAGACCTGTCTTATGAATCCATATTCTAGTGAAATATTTTCCATTTTTCTATAGAATCTTAATTCTCTTACGAGCCAGACATCAAGAGTTTCCATCAAGTTCTCTTCTCAGTCCTCCAGTATCAGACTCACAGATCAAGTGTCTACTGACCAAAACCAGAAGAATATCAGCTCATTGGCTTCTTCCAGGTGTTTAATTCCACAGTGTGACCAAGAGGCTTCAGTTCTACAGAAAATGGAACATAAGAGAAAACACGTACCAAAGGAAAGCATAAATAATGAAAACAATGAAGAAAGCATGAGTCTGAAAAGAAAACATATCACATGTAATAATTCATCAGAGAAAACAAGTAAACTTACGGCATTGGAAGAAGATGCTGATGAGGTTGAAACCCACCTAAATTCTAGGAACTCAAAAGCATTCACAAACGATTTTTGTGATATTAGGTATTTGGATGCTTTGGAGAAAAGCCAGCTGATTGAAATGCTCAAACAGGCAGTAGCTCTGGTGGTAACTCTGATATATAAGGATGGCTCAACTCAGCTGAGAGCAGACCAGGTTAGTAAACGGTGTTGGTTTTTGTTTGTTTGTTCTGTTTTGTTGGCACCATGAAAGAAACCCATTTTCTTAGTGTCTGATTTTGATAGGAGCGCAAGAAGTAAGATTTTAAGCTTTCTCCTTTCCCCCAGGGGTGAGTGACTGACACTGCATAGTTCTCATGAGGTTGTTAAGAAACTGCTGAATGTTTTCCATTTTATATTCCACCAGCAAAGTGTGAGTTTCCAAATTCTCCACCTCCTTGTCAATACTTGTTGTCTTTTTTATTTTAGCCATTCTGCTGTGTGTGAAGTGGTATTTCACTGTGGTTTTAAATTGTATTTCCCTAATAACTGGTGACATTAAGCATCTCCTCATATGCTTACTGGCCATTTGTGTATCTTCTTTGGTGAAACGTCTTGAAATTCAAGTCTTTTGCTCATTTTTAAATTGGGTTATTTGTGTTTCATTTTGGATCTGTAAGGATTCTTTATATATTTTAATACCAGTCTCGTCAGATATATGATTTGCAGTTCTCCAAATCTGTGGCTTGTTTTTATCAATTTCCTGATGGTGTCTTTTGAAGCACAGAATTTTTTAATTTGATGAACTCCAGTTTACCAAGTACTTTTTTATTGCTTCTGCTTTTGTTGTTAAATTTAAGAATGCTTTGGGACTTCCCTGATGGTCCAGTGGCTAAGGCTCCGCACTCCCAATGCAGGGGGCCCGGGTTTGATCCCTGGTCAGGGAACTAGATCCCACATACTGCAACTAAGAGTTCGCATCCTGCAACTAAAGATCCTGCATGCCGCAACGAAGATCCCACACGCCTCAAGGAAGATCCTGCATGCTGCAACTAAGACCTGGCACAGCCAAATAAATAAATAAATATTGCTTTAAAAAAAAGAATGCTTTGCCTATACCAGGTCATGAAGATTTACTGTATTTTCTTCTAACAATTTATAGTCTGAGCTCTTAAATTTAAACCTGTGACCCGGGACTTCCTTGGTGGTCCAGTGGTAAAGTATCTGCCGTACAATGCAGGGGACGTGGGTTCGATCCCTGGTCAGGGAACTAAGATTCCACTTGCTGCAGGGCAACTAAGCCCGTGCATCACAACTACTGAGCTCATGTGCCTCAACTAGAGCCCACGTGCCCTGGAGCCTGCGCGCCACAACTAGAGAAGAAAAAAAAAAAACCCACACGCCACAACTAGAGAGAAGCCTGTGCGCCACAACAAAAGATCCTGCATGCCTCAACGAAGATCCCGCGTGCTGCAACTAGACTATGGCATACCCCACCTTCCGGGTTTCCATTTCTAGAAAACTGCTCCCATCAGTAAACCACTCAACCTCAGGGCTGTCAAGAGGCTCATCTAGAAGATCAGGCCTGCTGGAGTAAGTTTGCTCTCTGGTCTCTATACACTGATGCACTAAGTGTCCATTCTTGGCCGCTGGAAGCAGAGTTGCTGGGTTCAGGGTTTGGCACACCTTTAAGGGAATGTCGGGGGTTCCATTAGGAGGGCCTGATATCTTGTTAACCTTCCTCCAGTCAACTAATGATGTCCTTTGACTTCTAGCACAGATTGTACCTGATGAGGGGTTAACACATCTAAGTGTTGTCCTAGGGTGAGCTTGGAAGCCTCATTAACCAATAGAGCCGTGGCTGCTACTGCTCACAGGGAGTTTGGCCATCCCAGGGCCACCGAGTCCAGTTGTTTTGAAAAGTAAGCCACCAGTCTTTGATCTGGCCCCAGCTTTCAGGTCAGAACTCCGAGTGCTATCCCTGACCTCTCATGGAGTATAGGGTGAAGGGTTTGTCTGACATTGGAAGCCCCCATGCTGGTGTCCTACTCAACTCAGTCTTTAGAGTCTCAAAGGCCCACTGGTGGCCCCTATTCCCTTTCTTCCCCCTTCAGAGCCTCATATAGGGGTTTTGCTGTAAGGCCATAATTTGGAGTCCAGATACAATAGAACCCAGCCATCCTGAGAAAGCCTTGGAGTTGTCTCTTCGTGGTTGGAGATGGTAGTGCGCTAATTGCTGTCTCAATCCATGGCCAGGACTTGCACTCCTGGGGTCAAAATAAATCCTAAATACTGAACACTGTTGTGAAATCTGAGCCTTTGTCAGAAAATTAGGACCTTAACAGTATTCTGAGCTGAAACTTGCTTTGTCTCACTACTTATTAGCAGATCATCAATATATTGTGATAGAGTTCCATTTTTCAGGCTTAGTTCCCTCAATTCTTTTGCTAACGAGTTTCCAAACAAATGGGGACTATCCTGAAAACCCTGCAGAAGCAATGTCCAAGTGTATTGAGTAGCCTCCAGAGGGTCAGGGTCCCTCCATTCAAAGGCAAAACAGGTATGAAGGGACTTCCCTGTGGTGCAGTGGTTAAGAATCCACCTTCCAATGCAGGAGACGTGGGTTCTCTCCCTGGTCGGGGAACTAAGATTCCACGTGCTGCGGGACAGCTAAGCCCACAGGCTCTAGAGCCTGTGCACTGCAGTGAAGATCCTGAATGCCACAACTAAGACCTGATGCAGCCAAATAAATAAATATTATATATATATATATATATATATATACACACACACTTTCCTCCCTTTCCAGAAGAAATTTTTTAAAAAATGGTATTGAGATTCTGGATGTAGAGAAATACAGAAAAATGCATCTTTGAGGTCCAACACAGAAATACTGAGTGCTTCCTGGCACTTGGGCAAGGAGGGTGTGTGGGTTTGGCACCACTGGGTGAATAGGGATGACTGCCTAGCTCACTGCTCGTAAGTCTTGCACAAACCGATACTCCCCATCATGCTTCTGAACAGGGAGGATCGGGGTGTTACAAGGGGATTGGCAGGGCCTAATGACTCTGTGTTTTAGGAATTTGGTGAGCAGCTGTTGGATCCCCCTCAGGGCCTCAGGCTTTAAAGGATATTATCGCCAGGAGCTGGGGCCAGCTGGGGTTGTTGTTTGGCCATCCCACAGGAGGGTGCTCAGGACATTCCCTTTCCCGGTGCCCCTCCTTCCAGAAAAAGGCACACTGATTCCTGCCCAGGTGGTTCCTGGGCTGCTGGTCTGGTCTTCTCAGCTGTCTAGTGTCCCCTCAAGATGGCGGGTGGATCAGAGCAGCTAAGAGCTGTGTTTTCTTTCTTAATCTCCTATCCGTGTTGGCCTCCTTTGCCATGTCCTCGTTGTTATAGACCTTGAAGGCCTCCCCTACCAAGGTTGACAATGGGGTTTGGGGCCCAGCTTCAAGTTTTTGTGATTTCCTCCTGATATGAGAAGAGGACTGGGTGATAAAATGCATGGCCGATAGTGACCTCCCTTGTGCAGACTCAGGGTCTGTATTGGTGTACTTCCTGAATGCCTCTGTCACCCGACTCAGGAAGACTGCTGGGTTTTTATCTTTTTCCTGTGTAATCTCTTGGACCTTATCATAATTTACAGGCTCCACCATATGCCTTTTCATTCCTTCTGATAAACAAGTAATATAACGTCTCATCCTGGCTTGGCCTACATGATCCTCACAATCCCAGTTGGGGTCCTGTTGTGAGATTGCGTCACCAGTTCAATAAATCTGGTGCTGTGCGTTGGTGGCCACTAGGCTGTCTGTGTGTTCCCTGGCCTTTCTTAGTATACATTCCTTCTTGTCCAGGGGGCAACAGTGGTTCAGAATAACTGTAATTCTTGCCATGTCAGGGAAAACATTAACCCCAGCATGGTAAATTTGTCCCTAAACTTGTCAGGGTTCTATGAGAACCTGCCAAACCCCTCCTTACGGATTCCTAAGTCTCTCATCGAGAAGGAGACATGCACTCTAGTAATTCCCAATTCCCATCAGCTACTTCCCAGAGGGGGTAAAGGCCCTGTGGTGTGAAAGTGGGGACTAATTTTGAACCTGATCAGGGCCCCACTGGGGACAGCACCGGGGGCTCTGGTTTCAGGGCTCCTGGCTAAATGGGGTAAGGTGGGGGTCGAGGGACTGAAGGTGATGTTGAAGGGGAAGAAGCCCAATGAGAAAGAGGCCCAATGTGCCAATGACTAGTTGGCGGTTGAAAGGGGATCTGTGAGAAAGTCTGGCACTAAATCTGCTGGGGACAAAACAGAAATAGAGGCCGCACACACAACAGGAGTCCCTCAAACCGGGGTCTTGATAAAGTTTCATAAAGGCCTGCACGTAAGGGACCTCCCCCCATTTTGGGGACTGCTTACAATATTTTGGTCCAGTTGTAAAATGGTGCTAAAGTTAAGGGATCCATTCTGTGGCCAGTTCTTCCGGTCACCCAAGGCATATTGGGGCTAGGCTGTGTTGCAAAAGAAGATGGTTTTTAAACCATCTAATTTAAACTGTCCCGAATTTTTACGAGTTTTAATCTTTGGGGGCATTTCCCATGTTTACATATAAATCTGGCGGCTAACAAACTGAGATCCTGCAGCTGGGTGGAGTCCTCAAGACCCGGCATAACAAAACCAAAGGGTGAGATGACAGAGGAGATCTCAGAACTCCCTTCCCCACAGTTGAACACACAGGACAGAGAAATATTGGGGGGTTGTGTAAAGTTCACCTCAACAGGGGCCTCGGGGGCTGTATGAAGTAAGGAAAAAGAAATAGGAGAAAGAGAGAAAGCCTGCTCTTTCGGCCTGCCCCTCTGCGTGTGTCTATTCAGGCAGTTCCAGTCTGCTGTGCTCTTCCACAAGGGCCAGTGGAGGGAGGCACTCCGTCCACCACCGACCAGGGTGATCAGACCCAGAAACCAGTGCTGGTGGGACTCTAACCCACAACTGGGACTTTAACCCAGGAAAAAGAAGTTGAGAAGTTTGTGACGACTGGGCTTCCAGCCACTGCACAGTATGAGGATTGAACCTCTGTCACTGTCAGAAATCTCCCCTCAAGGAAAGCCCACCGGACCAAGATCTGCACGGTATGAGGCAAGCCTCTCCCACCTCTGTCACCTGTCAGGGTGAGCCGGTGCCAGCCAGAGGGAGCATGGTCTCACCAACTAAGGAGTTAGGCTGTAGTTGCCCAACACTCACTTCTCAGAAGGATGTGACAGAGAAGTAGGAGAGGACAGAGAAAGGAGTTGTAGAGAGAGAGAGATCAGAAGAGGGAAAATGGACAAAGGGAAAATGGAAGGGGAAAGCTGCCTGAATGAGGATAGTGGCACCCCTGGGGCAACCGAAGGCAGACTTACCAATCCCTGCAGCACTGAAGCAAAGATTCAGGTGGCCACGTGTCAGCGGCAAGGAAGCTGCAATCGGCTGTACCAGATGGGCGCAGATCCTCTCTCAGAGGGGCAAGGAAAAAAAGAAGGCCCCACAGGTCCCAGCAGAGTTGCCAAAAAGTGTTACCAACCTGGGCCCTTGGACTCTTTAATCAATAGAAATCGACAAGAGGCCAGATGAGAATTTCAGGCAAGGCTTTATTGGGGCTCCTGCTACAGCACAAGGGAGCAAGAACAAGAGACAGGTTCCCTTGCCTGCCCCCTGAGAGGACCTGCTTGGGTCCTTAAATGGGGTAAAAATGGGGGTGGGTCTGTGCGTTGGGCATAAGGCACAGCTTAGGGGTCTGCCCACCCCCTTGGTGGTGCCGTGTGCAGAGATGATGCACCGTGCCCTGCTTTTGCTCCCAGCACCTCAGAAATGGCAGTTTGTCTTTGACCTTTTTGTATCCTATTGCTTATTATTGTCCCAGCTTGCCCATGCATGCCGTTATTTTTAGTCACTTGTAGTTTCTTTGTATCCTATTGCTCAAGGAGACATTTGTCCAGGTGCAAGCACTCTGGTAGAGGATCCCAAGTCCCAGCCTGGCTCAGTTTTGCCATCTTAGCAGTATTGAATTTTCTGATCCATGAACAGGGGGTGCCCTTTCATTTATTTAAAACTTCAATTTCTTTTAGCAATGTTTTGTAATTTTCAGTGTAGTGTATAAATCTTGCTTTACCTTTCACTTTTTTTTTTTTTTTTTTTTTTTTGTGGTACGCGGGCCTCTCACTGTTGTGGCCTCTCCCGTTGTGGAGCACAGGTTCCGGACACGCAGGCTCAGCGGCCATGGCTCACGGGCCCAGCCGCTCCGTGGCATGTGGGATCTTCCCAGACCGGGGCACGAACCCGTGTCCCCTGCATTGGCAGGCGGACTCTCAACCACTGCTCCACCAGGGAAGTCCTACCTTTCACTTTTGAAAGGCATTTTTATGGGGTAAAGAATTATAAGTTGATAGTTTTTTTCTTTCAGTAGTTTAAAGATGTTATGCTGCTGTCTTCTAACTTGCTTTGTTTCCCATAAGAAATCTACTATCACCCTTATCTTTGTTTCTTTCTAGGCAATGTGTCCCATCCCCCCTCCCCAGCTTCTTTTAAGGTTTTCTCTTTATCACTGCTTTCAAGCAATTTGATTATGATGTAACTTGGTGTAATGTTTTTCATGTTTCTTGTACTTGGAGTTTATTAATCTTCTTGGTTCTACAGCTCAGCTTGGGAGAATTGACATTATTATTTTGAGTTTTGTAGTCCTTAAACATGCATGTGTCTCTGTTATGGAGGTCTTCTCTGATTTCTTTCATGAGTATTTTATAGTTTTCAGTATACAGATCCCATACATGTTGTATTGATTTCTATCTAAGTATTTAATTTGGTGGAATAGTTATTATAAATGGTAATTTCTTTTTTAAAAAGTTTATTTGTACATGTTCATTGTTAGTGTATGGAAATATAATTGATTTTTGTATTTTGATCTTGTATCCTGCAACTTTGCTAAACTCACATATTAGTTCCAGGAGGTGTTTTGTTTTGTTTTGTTTTGTAGATTCCTTTGGGTTTTCTACACAAACATTTATGTTATCTGTATATAGGGACAGTACAGTTCTTCCTTTCTAATTTATACGCCTTTTCTTTCTTTTTCCTGCTGTATTGCATTGGCTAAGACTTCCATTATGATGTTGAATAGGGAGGAGACCAGATTTGGAGAGTGAGATCATGGGTTTGGCTTTTGACCTTGATTGTCATTAAAAGAGGTGTTCATTTACAAATTTTAATTTTAGGCCTTTTCTTTCTGCTTAATTAAAAAACTTGACAGATCTTTCTTGAATAAATGCATTGTTTATGTTTGATTTTGGAACTTTATTTTATTGTGTATTCACAGGCTCTGGTTTCCTCTGTTGAAGGCATTGTGATGTTACCAAGGAGCCATGCAGAGAAAGGCAGTGGTCCTCTGGCTGCCCCAGCCTCTGACAGTGTTCTGGAGGAAGGCTTCATGCCCAGTGACCAGTGTATCTACATAAAAACTGAGCCCTCTTCCATTTGGGACCAAGAACAAGAGGCACATCATCAATTTGCCAGGTAAGAAATCTTCACTAATTACCTTAAATCCTACTTATTCACCTGCTTTATCCTAATTTAGAGTTTCCCAAGCTCCAGTTTTAGTTATTTAAACTTTCAGAAGTTTTGTATGAGCACATGAAAATAAAATGGATCTAAATGACAGAAACCGCTACAAACACCCTCTCTCCCTCAAAGAGCTTCTGGAATGGAGGGTCCGTCCATGGGAGCCTGCTCCGGGATTTGAGTCAACATCGCAATGAGAGGCTGGTGAGAAAAGCATCATCTTAAGGCGTGAAAACCCACTGTCGCTGCTGGAGCCCTGGCTGATTTCCTCATTACACTTGTTCTCTCACTCACGGCCTTAGAAAATGAAGTTAACACTGCCTTCAAAGAGTAAATAGTCCTCAATACCACCAAGATATTACTAATTTCAAAGCTTCATTCTGTGAAAATAGAGAAGAAATGTCTCACGTGTATTTGCCTTCCTAGAATCTTAGAATTTCAGAACAGGCAGGGATGCTTCTGCTGCCCCTTCTCAATCCTGAAAAGTCTCGTCGTGGGTTGGAGCCTGTGCCCCTCATCACTGTTTCTTTGCTCACATTGTCAGCCTGACTCACTTCTGCTTTGGGTGGGGACATCCACTTCCTGTTTGCCCAGCCCTCTGCACTCAAGTCAGTTAGGTGCCTGGAAGGAGCTCCTTGAAGCCACTGCCCTGAAGAGGGTGAGAAGGTGGGGGCCTGGTCCTGGCCCTTCCTGCCTAATACATTCTCGCTGGGCTCTGGGTGGGTTTTAGGTAGTTGTTGTGTCGGTTCCAGCCTACGGATAGTGATGCTCTCTAGGCTGGGAGTGCCTGAGGCACTGGTTCCGCCTGTATTCCTCACACCAAGCCCCCACAGACATTTCCTCCATAGGGGCCAACGCTGTAGCTGGACCAGCCCTTGTGGTTCTTATGATCACAGGACACGCTTCAGCAAAAACCATTAGGGAATTTGAGGAACAAGATTTATCACTCACAAGTTCTGGAGAGTACACAGAGAGGTTATGGGTAGAGAAAGAGAGAGAGAGAGAGTGCATGGACCTGGGCCTCTGCCCTTATTAGGGTTTGAAGGTGGGGTGTCTAGGTTTTCACGGATTCACTCTTTACTGGCTAATTTAAAGCATAAGAGCAGGAATTAGGGCACAGGAAGGTTGAGAAGCCGTGTCATCACACAGTCAGTTATCTGGGTTACCCAGGGCTTTCTGGAAGAGGGAGCTTCATCTGGTTCCTTCTCTGGTTGTTTTGCCAGCAGCTGTGTTGCATAGCTGGCAACATGTCTATTCAGGATGGATGTCTTTGAAATGGATGCCTTGGCAATCAAAGCGTGATGTTAGGCATGTACACCACAGTGTGTACACGGGATGATGTTTGACAATAGAGCACTCTGCTCCCAAGAACCTGTAACCTTTTTTTCCCATAATTTTCTTTTGAAAGAACAATTGGGCGGGCTTTTTCTACGGAAGCCCTCTGTGAGAATAGGGCCCTAATATTCGGACAGCGCTTTCTGAATTTATATATTCTACTCGACATTCTCCACTTGGACATCTGATGGTCACTTCAGCTCCGATCCTCCCTGTGCCTTTTGTTTAGCAGATGTGGCATAATTGACTTCTGTAACTGACTTAGAAAATACACTGTGTTTTAGCCACTTTGTCTTACAAGATATTCTTTGTGTCGCTCGTCCTTTCTTAAGCTAGAAATCAGCTAGGGTTTGTCTCTTAGTGGGAGAGATCATAGTTGTTAGATGGCCTTATTGAGAACTTCCGGGTTTCCAGCTACAAGAGCATCAAAGTGGGAGGATGCTCCAGTAGTCCCAGCTTAACTCCCTCATAAGCTGCCCCCACTCCTACACACCTCTCCAGGTCCAGCAGAGGCAAGACCTGAAGCTGTGCTGTCAGCAGTGGCCCTCTTCAAGGAAAATCAAAGTGAAAGCGCACAGAAAAATGCAAAAAGCCTGAAATTGTCTGCCTGCGGAGCAAGCAGAGCTAATCGGACCCCAGGTTTCCTTCTTCCTCAGCCTTATCTGAAGACCCTCACTGATGTATTAATAAGCAGTTACCATAAAGGGGGATTAATACCTTGGGCCCTGGCAGCAGCAAGATTGGGTCTCAGACCTCAGCTTTGCCACTTCTCAGTTGTGTAAGGCTGGGAAAATTGTTTCACCCCTCCGAGCCTCAGTTTCCTCATCTGTAAAATGGATCTAGTGCCTGCCTAATGGGATTATGATGAGGTTTCAACACAACAATCCTCGTGAAGTGTTTAGTGTGGTATTCGCACATGGTAAGTGTTTGATAAACGTCAACTATTATGAATCCCATATTCAAGGAGCTCGTGATTTAATGGGCCAAGGTAAATTACAGTATCGCAGATGTGGTCCCCGCTGTAGCAGGTGTGTGGCCAGGAGCACCAAAGGAACCGGGAACCAGGCAACTCCCTGCCCAGGGAATCAGGCACCTGAGCAGTTTGTAGAAATTGTGGGAGGGAAATTTTAGGCAGGAATACAGCATGTGCCTGTGGCCCTGGCGTGTGAGAGGACGTGCACAGTCTGGTGATGGAGGAAGGAGAATCCAGTGTGGGCAGAGGGTAGACTGGGGGTGTGCTGGGAGCGCAGGCTGGGGCCAGCTGGGAGGAGTCCAGGGTGCGTCAGCTCTGCTCAGGAGCTGGAGGCTGAGTCTGTAGGTGGCTGTGCTGCACCCAGGAGCTGGAGGCTGAGTCTGTAGGTGGCTGTGCTGCGCCCAGGGATTGGCTCTGAACAGCTGTGTGGACTTGAGTTCATTACTAGCCTCTTTGTGTCTCGGCTTCATCAGCTGTCAATTGCAGATAATAAGTAACACCTACAAAAAATAACGCAGGAGGCTGCGCATAAGAAGTTTATTTGGGGTCTTAAGAACTGCAGTTCAGGAGACAAAGATTCAGGAACCCCCGAAAGAGTGTTCTGGGGAAGAGAAAGAGTCAGGGACTTATAAAAACAAAAAGCCACAAGATTGTCAAAAGTTGCCTGGCAAGAATTGGGGATTGACTCTGACACAAGTCAGAAAACATTTGTCCTTAAGGAATCACGAATTGTTCCAGGGTAGGGGTCTGACAAGTAGATAGGGTGTCCCGGGTTTCTGGCAGAGGTTCTGGATACCCTCACCAGGTTGAAAGGTCAGATTCCATCCAGGCTGAGACACACGAGTCCCACTTCCTCAGAGGCCTCCTGGCTCCGTTCTGGGGACTGAGCAATACCGTCCCTGTTTCGATTTTCCTTCCACACCTCTTAGGATTTGAGTTAATCTGTGGAAAGCTCGCAGAAGAAGAATGTCTGCCCATAGAACCGCATAAGTGACAGCTGTTAGTGGAGTAGTAATAATACTTTCCCAAGGTGAAAAGCTCCAAATTACTGTGTCAATCAGTGAATGTCTTTTCATCTTCTAGGAAGGTGCTGCTTCAAACACTGAAATGTAAATGTCCTGTTATTTGTTTTAACGCCAAGGATTTTCTGAGAACAGTGATGCAGTTTTTTGGTGATGATGGCAGTTGGAAGTGTGGTACGTTTTAGTTTTTATAATCTCCTAAACTTAACTTTCCAACAGTGATTCCTCCTGGGACTGGGAGCACGGCAAGGACTGCTGTGTTGCACAACTCGTGGGTTGGGGGTGGAAGGGAGGTCGCACAGCTGCGATGCACTACCTGTGTGGCCATGGGCCCTGAGCGAGAGAGGCACTTTCCCTCTGTGTTTTAGATTATTTGAATTTTTTCAAGTATATGTTACTTTTGTAATTTAAAACAGGAAAGAAGTAAATTATTCAGCATGGGCAGATGGGATTTGTTGTTACCACAAATAGCTTATATGTAAACTTCTAAGAATTAAACTAAAGTCCAGAGTAATTAACATCAAAACAGTATAAAACACGTTTTTTATCTTTCATTTAAAATTGTAAATAAGAATTTTTAAAACCTTTTTTTTATTAGATGGACAGATATGTAATAAAGCAAATATTGAAAGAATGTTCATTGTAGATTCTAAGTAGTAGATATATGAGTGTTGACTGTACAGTTCTTTTCAAGTTGAATGTTTGAAAATATTCATAACAAGATACTGGAAAAAATCTTTTTATTGTACAAAACTTCCAACACGTACAAAAGTGCCTGTAATACGACAAGAAATGTATATTTGGTCTTTGTCCCTGGTTCCCAGCACTCAGCTCCCAAAACCCATATGGTCTCCAGAGTGAGGAGTGTCTTTTGTATGCTGATGGAGGACTGGTGCCTGGAGGCCCCCATGGCTTTAGGGTGGGCGTGGTCAACAGGAAGAAGAGGCATCATTAGAGGAGTGGTGCTCAGGAAGGGGAGCAGGGCTGGAGAGCAAGTTAATCACCAGTGGCCAGTGACTTAATCATACTGATGTAACAAAACCTCCATAAAATCCCCTAAAGGGTGGGGTTCCTAGGTGAGCTCGTCAAGGTGCTGGGAGCGTTGTGCACCTGGAGAGGGAGTGGAGGTTCTGCGCCCTCTCTATGCCTTGCCCTACGTATCCCTTCCATCTGGCAGTTCCTGTGTTGTAGCCTTTAAAATAAACGGGTGTCGTAAATAAGGTGCTTTCCCGAGTTCTGTGAGCCATTATAGCAAATGATGGACCCTGAGGAGGGGTCGTGGGAACCCCCTATTTATAGCTGTTTGGTCGGAAGTACAGGAGGCCCTGGACTTGGGGCTGGTGCCTGAAGTGGGGCCGTCTTGTGGGGCTGAGCCTTGACCTGCAGTGTCTGCACTAACCCCAGGTAGTTCGTGTCAGAATTGAATTGAGTTGTTGGACACTGGCTGGCGTGTGCAGAGAACGGCAAGTGTGTGGTGGGAAAACACAACAGAGTACACAATAGCCAATTTCAACAGCTATCAACTATGTCCAGTCTTCTCTCCCCTATAACTTCCCACATTTCCAAATCTCTATCCCCTGGGTTATCTTGTAGCAAATCCCAAGCGTCACATTATTGACCTGTAAATATTTCAATTAGATGAGTAAAATATGAGGATTTCATTTTTCAGATGTTGCCGTCATCATCTCCCCACAAAATTAACCATAATCTTTTCATATTATTAGCTATCCAGTCAGTGTTTGTACTTCCCCAGTTGTCTTTAAATACTTTTGTTGGTTTGTTTTTGTTGTTCACAGTTTGAACTGGGATCCAAGCAAGGGTTAGTGTTATCCTATATTTGGGTTGGGTGTTTCTTTTACTCTGTATATTCTCTCCATCTGTTGTATTTTCTTGCAATTATTTCGTGTTTTTTTTGTTTTTTTTTGTTTGATATGTGGGCCTCTCACTGTTGTGGCCTCTCCCGTTGCGGAGCACAGGCTCCGGATGCGCAGGCTCAGCGGCAGTGGCTCACGGGCCTAGCCACTCCGCGGCATGTGGGATCCTCCCGGACCAGGGCACAAACCCGTGTCCCCTGCATCGGCAGGCGGACTCTCAACCGCTGCGCCACCAGGGAAGCCCCCATTTCGTCGTTTTTAACAGACCAGGCTTTTGTCCTGTAGGATTTCCCTTTCTTGGCATTTAGCATGTTCTCTCTCTTCTATTTCTTGTAAATTGGCAATGAGATTCAGTGGCTTGATCAGATTCAGGCTAGATTTTGGGAGTGCAAGACTGCTTCACAGTCCTGACCCTAACTCCGAGTGGTGTTGTGTCCTTCTGTCAGGAAATACATAATGTCTGTTTGTTTATCTTTTCTGTGATGTTTGAATTGTTATTGTGACTTCATATGTTGAATCTTCTCCATCTTTCCTATTTATCACTTTACCTAGAATCCATTTTCAGTCTCTTCATTTTTTAATTAAAAAAAATTTTCTCTTTCCCATCTTCATTTTAAGAAAACTTAAGGGAGTTCCATGATGTTCTAGTGGTTAGGATTCGGCACTTTCACTGCCATGGCCCAGGTTCATTCCCTGGTCAGGGAACTGAAATCCTGCAAGCCACATGGTGTGGCCAAAAATTTTAAAAAATGAAAATAAATTTAGGAACTTCCCTTGTGGCACAGTGGTTAATAATCCACCTGCCAATGCAGGGGACATGGATTCGAACCCTGGTCTGGGAAGATCCCCCATGCCATGGAGCAACTAAGCCCATGTGCCACAACTACTGAGCCCGCGTGCCACAGCTACTGAAGGCTGCGTGCCTAGAGCCTGTGCTCCTCAACAAGAAAAGCCACCACAATGAGAAGCCCGCACACCACAATGAAGAGTAGCCCCCACTTGCCGCAGCTAGAGAAAGCCCACACGCAGCAACGAAGACCCAAAGCAGCCAAAAATAAATAAATAAATATATTTTTTTTAAAAAGGAAAAAGTTTAAAAAAGCTTTTTTTAAATATAAAAATACTTACGGCATTATCTATTGCACTTATTTGCTTTTGTGTATTGCCAGTTTAGTTTTTATTTCAGAAATTTTGTTTTGTTTTGTTTTACTTTGCTTTCCTGAATTCTTTCATTTCTTCATTAAGCTTTTCTTTTACTAAGTCACCTAATCTCTAAGTATTTCTAATTCTGAGTTCTTTGTTTTTCATAACTTCTATCATTCTCTTAATTTTTCTTAGCTCATTTAAAATCTGCTTTGTTGGCATTTTTTTTTTTCAGTTACTGCCATTCTCCCCAGTGTGAGGCTTGTCCTGGTGGCTTCAGTTTATTAGTTATAAGAGTTTATAGGGACCAGCCCCCAGACCACTCCAATGCTGTCAGAACTTCCCCACGGATTTTTCAAAAATATATGTTGAGTGGGAGTTCTTCTCGCCCTGCCCTGGACGATGCCCCTGGAGCATCCAGGTCACCCCTCAGGTGCCTGAGGCTGAGCAGTGGCATCATTTCATGTTCCCAGCGAGCCCCTTGGATCCCCACTGTGGTGGTGCATCCAGTGAGCAGCTTTCTTGGGGATCAAGATGCCATGTGGCTGACAGGGTCTTGGTGCTCCAGCTGGGTGTCAGGCCTGAGCCTCTGAGGTAGGAGAGCTGAGTTTAGGACATTGGGCCACCAGAGACCTCCTGGCTCCAGGTAATATCAATTGGTGAGAGCTCTCCCAGAGATCTCCATCTCAAAGCTAAGACCCGGTTCCACTCAACAACCAGCAAGCTCCAGTGCTGGACACCCTATGCCAAACAACTAGGAAGACAGGAACACAGCCCCACCCATTAGCAGAGAGGCTGCCTAAACTCATACTAAGTTCACGGAAACCCCAAAACACACCACCGGACACGGTCCTGCCCACCGGAAAGACAAGATCCAGCTTCATCCACCAGAACACAGGCACCAGTCCCCTCCACCAGGAAGCCTACACAACCCACTGAACCAACCTTACCCACTGGGGGCAGACACCAAAAACAACGGGAACTACAAACCTGCAGCCTGCGAAAAGGAGACCCCAAACACAGTAAGTTAAGCAAAATGAGAACACAGAGAAATACGCAGCAGATGAAGGAACAAGGTAAAAACCCACCAGACCAAACAAATGAAGAGGAAATAGGCAGTCTACCTGAAAAAGAATTCAGAGTAATGATAGTAAAGCTGATCCAAAATCTTGGAAATAGAATGGACAAAATGCAAGAAACGTTTAGCAAGGACGTAGAAGAACTAAAGAGCAAACAAACAATGATGGACAACACAATAAATGAAATTAAAAGTTCTCTAGAAGGAATCAATAGCAGAATAACTGAGGCAGAAGAATGGAAAAGTGACCTGGAAGATAAAATAGCGGAAATAACTACCACAGAGCAGAATAAAGAAAAAAGAATGAAAAGAATTGAGGACAGTCTCAGAGACCTCTGGGACAACATTAAATGCACCAGTATTCGAATTATAGGGGTCCCAGAAGAAGAAGAGAAAAAGAAGGACTGAGAAAATATTTGAAGAGATTATAGTTGAAAGCTTCCCTAATATGGGAAAGGAAATAGTCAATCAAGCCCAGGAAGTGCAGAGAGACCCATACAGGATAAATCCAAGGAGAAACAGGCCAAGGCACATATTAATCAAACTATCAAAAATTAAATACAAAGAAAAAATTTTAAAAGCAGCAAGGGAAAAGCAACAAATAACGTACAAGGGAATCCCCATAAGGTTAACAGCTGATCTTTCAGCAGAAACTCTGCAAGCCAGAAGGGAGTGGCAGGACATAATCAAAGTGATGAAAGGGAAAAACCTACAACCAAGATTACTCTACCCAGCAAGGATCACATTCAGATTTGACGGAGAAATTAAAACCTTTACAGACAAGCAAAAGCAAAGAGAATTCAGCACCACCAAACCAGCTTTACAACAAATGCTAAAGGAACTTCTCTAGGCAGGAAACACAAGAGAAGGAAAAGACCTACCATAACAAACCCAAAACAATTAAGAAAATGGTAATAGGAACATACTTATCGATAATTACCTTAAATGTAAGTGGATTAAATGCTCCAACCAAAAGACACAGACTGGCTGAATAGATACAAAAACTAGACCCATATATATATACTGTCTACAAGAGACCCACTTCAGACCTAGGGACACAGACAGACTGAAAGTGAGGG